AAATGGAACCAATAAACGTTTCACTTTTTTAATAATTTTTTTTTACACAGACAGTGATTGCAAAGCTTTTGTAACACTGGCTTAATTATATGAGCACACGCGACTAGATCAACTGCGAGTTTATTTTCCTTTTTTCGCCAACCACGATACTTATTTCTATGAATATGATCTTAGTAACTTCCTAACATATAACGGAACTTTTTTGCATACCGTTATACAAATGAAAAGCTAATTCGGTGAATTTATTTTCMGAAACGTAGTTTTGCTATGCAGTGGCTTAATTATGTGAGCACAAGTGTACATATGTCGGAGGGTTAGTACTTGTATTTTGTAAGTGTAGATATAAAATAATGGACTCGTCTACGAACAAAATCCCCGACATATTTACGTACTACACTAATTAACAACAGTATTTTAATGCCACTTACTTATGAATTCGAATACATTGATCATGGTGACCTTGTGTTGCAATCATTACGTCTGCTTCGTCTAGTACAAACACTCGAATTTTTTTCAAGTCAAATACACGATATTTTAATCCCCAGTCCAAAATTTTTCCAGGTGTTCCAATTATTATGTGGTCCTTTAGTTTCGTGTTTGGTGTAACTTTAATGAAAATAATATAATTGTATATATTTTACTTTTCTACAAAACTCTCTAACCTTCTTCACCACGAACAGCAAATTTTAATTTGATTTCCGGACAAAATTGTGCCATTCGAGCAGCTACTTCACCAGTTTGTATTGCAAGCTCATAAGTAGGCGAAATACAAAGAACCTGCAGATAAGTTAAATAAAATTAAAATTCTTCAAGAAAATGAAAGGGGTGTTCAAATATTCTTTTTAATCACATTTGCCACAGTATCAATAGACACAGTGAGGCTACTGCTGAGTTTTGCACACGAGTAATTTTAAGCCTTCTCTATCATAAATTTTTCAGCAATGGGCAAAAACATTATAACTACTGTCTCTCTTTGGAAAGGCAAGTAAATATTCGTCTTTCTCTTCTCATTAATAAACAATAACCTTTTAAACCTATTCAGAGATCACTTGACTCGCAACAGCATCCCTTACAACAAATATACCAACAATAGCATAGGTAATTAGTGTACAAACACTCATGCTTTTAGAAATTCCATTTTTCAGAACACTTTGAAGATAAAACTCAATTTTTTAGCGAAAAACTCCTAATTTATTGTAAAATCGAAATCATTAAAAATATTGGAAATAACTTTAATATGTTACAATGTAATTTATATGTATAGAAAAATAGATTTAGAAATAGATTAGAAAAAAATTATAAAGACCATTTACATTTTTTATTTCTCTCTCAATTGCTATATAAGAAACTTTAATTGGAATTACGTGAACCTGTTATTGAAAACATAATGTAGGCTTTTGTTATGTTATAGAAGCCATATGCTCCCCTAACCCTCAAACAAAGTATGATAAATTTTTTGCTTTTCGTCCTTCAAGTGTGATTGTAATCGATTCAATATAACCGAACAACGATTGTTGAACATGAATTGAAAGCAGCTGCGCCTGAAATTATCCCTTTCGCCATATCTATTTTTAATTAAATATTTGAAATTTTCGGTCTTCGATTCCTAATTTTCCTGCTTTCTTCTGTTCTCTTTTCAAGTACAAAAAGCAACAGCAAATTTCGAGTTGAATTTTTACAATAGTGTATGCGAATACCTCATTAAAGTGGTAAAGCCGTTATCTTCAATGCTACTAAGTGTTTTGCATATTTCAGATTAGTTTTGCTACTTTAAATGGTATAAATGACAATAAAAATTTATTTTCTTTTTTCTTGCATTTTTAAAACTTAGCTTAAAGTAATTTATAGAAAAAACGAAAAAATAATTTATTCACATAAAAGAATATAGTACTGTTGCCCTTGCGTCATAAGTCATTTTAGCGCAGAGTTGCATGACAACTGTTGCCCTTTTGTAAGAGCATTTGTTCGACTCGTTGCCGAGTAGAAGGCAGCTAGTAATATATTCAATAAAAAGTATGCAACATTTTAATTCAAAAATATTTATAAGACGAATATATTTACTTGGATGATATAAAGCCATATTATTTTTTTGTCATTGTCAAAATAATAAGTAATATTCACTAAATGTTACATTTAATGTAAGAAAAACACTAAATAGTAGGAATCAATATTCTCAATAATGAACCTTCCAATTCTTTATTTTAACTTTAGTAGAGAATTGGACTTTTTTTACAGCCTCGGATAAACGAGCTCCTTTTGATGACGACCATGGCAAACAAATTAAGGATTACTATTTTAGGGATTACGATTTGAGGGCATGCATCCTGAATGTCCGGTCCCTTAATTGGGAAGGCGCCTCTGTCCAGATGTTCTCGTCAAAATAAAAGCTGACGTCACCGCCGTCCAAAAAATGCAATTGACTTGTTCCATCCAGTATAGTAGCCATATAAATGAGCGCAATGTGGGGTTGGGAGAGAGACCCCGTCGTCAAGTACCATCATTCACTCCAGTGGATGAACGTCTTGCCACAATTCGCATCAAAACGAAGTTTTTTAACATATCGCTGAGCTGCGCCAACGCCCCGACGGAAGAGAAGGACCATGTTACCAAAGATGCCTTCTATGAGTGCTTGGAGCGCATCTATGAAAGCTGCACCCATCACGATATCAAAATCGTGCTTGTCGACTGTAAAGCCAGGGTGGGCACGGAAGGTATTTTTGCCACAATAGTCGTTTAATTCAGCCTTCATGATGAAACATCCCCAAATGTGTTGACGCTGATCGACTTCGTCGGGGCCAAATATTATTATCTGTAGTATTAGATTCCAACATATAAAATATCATCAAGCTACCTGGCGGTCCCCCGATCAAATATCCACCAACCAGATCGATGTTGTGATCAGAAAATGTAAAAGAACAGCTGGTACGATGAGTAGTGCCGTGTCGCAGCGGAGAGAAAACGGGCTGTCTACCTCACAACGTTACAATCGACCACAACACGTGCGGGATGGGATAGATGCCGAAAGTTGAAGAGGGAAGCGAGACGCATGTGCAGACAAAAAAAAGAAAGAGACCGAAATGCGTGAGTATGAAGAGCTTTAAAAAGCTAGCCGACAGGATTAATGCTCGAAAATTCTACGAAAAGATTCGGCGAATAACAGAAGGTTTGAAGACCGAAAGAAACTCTTGTAGAACCCCCAGAGGTGATATAGTGACGGATGCTCAAAGCATACTAAAATTATGGAGGGAACAATGAAGAAGTTCCAATAGCAATTAACCATTTGAAGAACAATAAAGCGGTCCGCCGCTCCGCTATTCAACCACGGCGGCGAAGAACTGATAGAGCATGCATCAGCTTCTGTTTAGAATATGATCGGACGAAAGCATGCTCAACGATTGGAATTTAAGTGTGCCCTGCCCAATCCACAAAACAGGATGCCGTACAATGTGCCCATGAAAAGAGAATCGACACGCACCACCTCTTCGTCGATTTCAAAGCTGCTTTCGACAGAACGAAAAAGAGCTGCCTGTATGCCGCGATGTCTGAATTTAAAAAGAAAGATTTGTGGCGTTGGCCACGGCGAATATCGCATTCGATGGAACGATGAGCTCTATGAGATATACGACGACATTGACATAGTTCAGCGAATTAGGAGAAAACGGCTACGCTGGCTAGGTCATGCCATCCGAATGGACGAAAACATGCCAGCTCTGAATGTAAACGCAATACCCGCCGGGGGAAGCAGAGGAAGACCTCAACTCCGTTGGAGAAACCTGGCTTCGTTTGGAATCTCCATTTGACCCCCGTGCGAAAAGAAGAAACGACCGATCCGCTGTTTTGAAAAAAAAAAAGAGAATTGGATCGTGTGGTGACTCTATTAGCAATAATTGCAAGAAGCAAGTAGTGACATACTCTTCTTACCAATTGGAGCAGGCATGACGTCCTGTCATTTAAGTCGACTGCCCAGTGCGCAAGTTAGATTGCATATTGTGTCCTGCCATAAAGGCGGGTAGCGCACTCATTGGTGAAATTGTACCACATATTATGATCTTAAGACATCATTATCAAACCTATTCATAGGAGAAATCTCACACTAAAGTCCAGCATTGTCGAAAATGCTCTTACCCTGACCCTTCAATCGGAACAATTTAAATAACACGAACATATATTCTTACAAACATATAAAATATTCAGTAAAACCGTGTGAGCAAAAGCAAAAAGTTTTCTAATATTAACATACGGATCGGGAAGTCAAACTCTCTTTTATGAAAGCTCACTTTGATTGGGTACTGAACAACCTTGAACTGTTTTATTGAGTTTGCCTTTTTTGTTAATTTAGTTTTTACGTCCAGATAAGGTGAAATAACTTACTTATGTTCGCAAAAATTGAAAATAAAAACAACCCGAACGTTTATACCTAGCAGTACAATGTTCGTGGTACTTTGTTTTTAAAGTTATACATATACCTGTGGAAAATCCAATTTGATATCAACCCGACTCAACATTGCTAAAACAAATGCGGCTGTTTTACCGGTTCCAGACTGGCTTTGGGCTATCATATTTTGAGGAGGGTCCGCAAGTAATGTTGGAAGTGCTGTTTCTTGAATTTTGGAAGGAGCATTAAACCCCATAGCGTATATACCTTTTAACAGCTCGGGTTTTCTAAAAATAAGAACAATATATATGTATGTATTAAAGAATTAATTAAAAATTAATATAAAACACACCTTGATGTTTTAAGAAAATTCCAAAACATCGTAATTTTGTTAATGTCGTGTTTCAAATCTATAGCAGATCATTGTATTCTAAATCAAAACTGTCATATTTATATTAATAATATAAACATACTGGAATCTAAGTTGCAAGAATCAACATGAAAAGGTCTCGAATTTAAGAATTATTCAAAAAACGAATAATTCTATCAAAATGAAATGCATAATGGCGTTTGGGTGCTGAAGAAATTATGTTTCTCAAGTTGAAGTCATAGTTTTTAAAGCAACTAAAACCAACAATTCTCCACCCTTTTTTTTCCTATATTTAATTACCAATACTACGAGTTTTCATAAACACTTAATTACAATTGTCTGTTATAAATTAAATTTGAACTCTAATTGTAAAAGATCAAATCGCATTATATTATCAGGTTCCAATTTAAATTAAAACATACATGAATATTACCACTTCTTTATCAAATATGTATATAATTATGAGACTTAAAAACTTTTAAACTTTTAAATTATTTTAAACAAATCCACATTACGTTTTTTTTTTTAAGAATTTATGAATCAGTAATTCTGAAAACCTGAATTGTGTGCTTTTTGCTTCTTTTTTATATAAAGTAGTTGTCACAGAGACAAAAAATACAACAATAACTTACAGATGCAGCGCTTCAAATGTTTTTACGGAATGCAGTGGAGATTTGGGGTCCTTGCGTTGTACTTCTAAATCCAAGTTAGATTCAACAAGTCCTTTTCGTATTATCTTGAGAAGCAAACTTGTTTCAGCAGCACTGTAAAGAAAAGCTTGTAAAATAAATATTTGGAACAAACTAGATGAAAACAAGATTGGAAAAACTAAATAAGGGAGTAAGCCAACATTTTATACTCTCGCAATATGCGATATTTATGGATATATGGATATATGTTCGAGCAAGAAAATAACTTCACCAATATTGCGACAGTTGTTTTTCTGCAGATACTTAGTCGATAGTTATACTACAACATTTTTGCGTTGAATGGAATGAGACTAGAACGGCAAAACTTCATATTAAAAACCATTCATATATTCACTCTACGAAGAAACTGTGACTGCATATTAAGTATCAGCAATAATATTGCATTGTTAAACTGTAACAAATTTTATGGCATTTGATGTGTAGATTCACACAGCACTTTTCTCGTCATTTATTCTATGACCTTTTGCTTCATGCCCATACCACTCCAGCAAAAGACCGACTTCGCTTAAAATAAAGACTGAAGTTGGACAAGAAATTAATGTAGAAATCTTAGCTCGGCCGATATGAAAGCGTTTACAGGAGTCGGGAATTCGTGGGTGCATTGCGTAAAACAAACCGCTTGTAGCAAAAGAAAAAAGTATGCGGTATTTTCGCTAGTTGGCGCTGAGAGCGCGTAGTTCTAGTTTTATTGCATCCGGTCATACTATACATTTTTGGAAAGCTCATTTCACGCGCTAAAGGCAAAAATGCATCTCAAGCCGTCAATAAAATATGTGCAGTTTATGGACCCAATACAGTTTCCATTTCCACCGCACAACGACGGTTTCAACGTTTTCGTTCTGGTGTAGAGGTGGTGGAAGATGTGCCACGCTCCGGAAGGCCTATCGTCGAAAATTGCGATAAAATCGCTAMATTGGTCGAAAGAGACCGGCATAGTAGCCGTAACATCGGTCAAGAGTCATCAAAAAAAATTTTATGAACAATTGAAAATTCAATAAAAATACCGCAAGACTCTTTTGACAACCTATTATTAATAAGCGGTTGCGATTTGCAAAGGAAATACTAAAGGAGAAGAATGACGAAGGTTAGACAATGTTGTTAAAAATAAGGGTATTCAACAAAATACTAAAAATTTTTAAATTTATACTTTTTCAATATAAATATTCTTAAGTTGCTACTGTCGTTTCTAATTATATGACCGAACTGAATTTGGTGTTGTTGTTGTTTCAACGATTACCGGTCTCCGTTAGGATGGTGAGGGTTATGTGTTGTCGTCGACGTCATCTAACGGGAGGCCCAGGAAACGTGCTGTTCCGACGGGGTCGGACCAAAGTGAAAAGGGTGTTAGATAGGGCATGCAAAGAGGTGGTCAGTGTTATGCGGAGACTCGTTGCATGCAGGCCATACAAGGGGTATATCAGCGTCTATTCTGGATATGTAGAAGTTTAACCTGCTACAATATCCAGAACGAAGTTGCGCTAGGGTCACTCGCGCTTCTCGCTGCAACTCGAGCTCTTCGTCTGTGATGGGTAATGGTTTGACTCCAAGAGCGCCATTCACTGAAAGAGAGTCGGTAAAGGTGTTGATGGCTCCAGTGTGAATAGCGGTCAGTACCTGTCGAAAGAATGTTGCGTCCGAGGTCCGGTCGGTGTACTATACGACGTGGTCGAGAAATGACCTCTTGATGCTACTAGGGGGCGGTTCTGCTCCAAGCAAATGGCTGCAAGGATGGTTTCTACGAAAACATCCCAGCATGAAGAGGACTTCATTATACTCCCTAACTGTCAGCATAAGCGTCTCACTATGTAGGTGGTCGATGGGAAACATCAAGAGGCATTCACGTCGTGGTCCGGACTGCTGTTTTCTGGCAGGTCTGGAGTTTCCTCATCTGCGTACCACTGCATCCAGGCGACCATATTGGTGCTGCGTAGTTAAGGACCGGCCGGCCAATTGTATTGTAAGTTGCCAACAACATTTCTTTGTCTTTCCCCATGTGCTGCCGGCTAGCGACTTGAGGACTTTTTTGCGGCTCTGTATTTTGGAAATAATCGCGGTCGTATGGGGAGAGAAGGACCATAGACTATCGAAAGTGACACCTAAAATCTTAGGGTTATTGACAGTCGGAATTTTGACGCCATCGACTGCAATATTAAGTTCAAGTCTATACTCCTTCGTCCAGTTCATAAATATGGTCGCTGTGGAATTGGTGGGGGAAAGTGTGAAATTCCGTGCAGTGAGGAAACGAGAAATGTCGGTGACGTAGTTGTTTCGCTACGATAACATGCCATCGATTCCACTGCCTGACTTCAATAGCGTACAGTTATCTGCGTACGAGGTTATGAAAACGCCCTCTGGTGGTTGCGGGAGTTTCGAGATGTARAAGTTAAACAGTAGCAGGGAGAGGACACCACCCTGCGGAACCCCCTGTTTAATTCTTCTCAGTTTAGATGTTTCATCTCGAAATAGTACGTATAAAAGACGACCGTTCAGATAGTTCATGGTCCATCTCTTTAGCGCTGGAGGAATCGTAGTTTTTGTCCTGCAGTAGCGTTGTGTGGTTGACCGTTCTTTCACAGGGTGGTTTCTGGTTGAGGCCACGAACTATCTGAGCGTTTATGACGATAAGTGCTGTGCACTTTCCAGAATCCATGCTGGTGGCTGGCTAGGCCCAGGTGGTGAGTGAAGGTCGGGAGTAGCAAGACCTCTAATGTCGTCACTACTAGGGAGAAGAGAGTTATCGGTCGACAAAATTCCCTTTATTTGGCTGGTTTTCCAGGTTTTAGTAGTGGGACCACTTTTCCGACTTTCTACACATCGGGTATTTGAAGAGTAGTCAGCGACAGGTTGAGGACCTTAGTGAGTTATCTTACTCCCGTCGAGCTTAGCTGTTAATGCTATGTTGATTCCATCAGGGCCAATAAGTTTGGAAGATTTTGCTTTGTTGATGACACCCTGAACCTCCTCATCGCTGAAAGCAAGTGGCGCGCAGTCGTTTGGCCGTCGGTCAATACATCGTTTGACTTTGTCTACCGAAGGATGCAGTGTAAACTGCCGACTAAAATAGCTCGCGCACTTCTTCGGGTCCGAAGAGGCATGGCCATTGAATTTAACTTCATCTCGGTCGTCGTGCCTCTTCGGGTTAGACAAAGCTTTGACAGTAGCCCAAAGCTTATTCAGTATACAAAGCTCACATTTGGTGTTCTTTGTGTTTACCTTATTCTCTTAAAAATATAATTAATATTTTTGTTGTTTTTATGTAAAACTCAAATAAAATGTGTTACTTTGTTGATTCCAATTTATAGTTTTAACGTGACAATCTAAATTTTTAAAATAAGTGAAAACTATAAGGAGCAGTAGGTCAGAATTTTTCTTCATCAACCTCACCATCATAAAATACAATAAATAAATTTTTAAAATTATACTTTTTCAATTTCACTTGCGAATCAAGTAAAGGTTTGCTAAATTTTGACAGTTGAAGCGAAACGAATTTCACAAATTCGCAAATAATACCAGGGGCAATATTCTGTATCTCGATTCGAAAGTTAATTCTATTCGAATTTAATATTCAACTTGAATGTATTTCAGCATTCTGTAAAAAAAATCTAATTTAGCTTATAAATATGGGGAAGTTGTACACCCCTGTGTCAGAATTTTAGAATGCTAAATGTAAAAATAAAATTAAATAAGTTTAAATTTATTGGAAAATTATAGATTCCATTGCATTGTGGAAGGAGGACGTGGAAATTATTGAGGAAAGGATTACGAGAACATATTTAAGATATGAATTTAATATTATGGAATCATTGCAAAAAAGGTTATTTGTTATAACATATGTATGTATGCACCAAAATTTCAAATGAAACAGTACAAGTGCATAAAAATAACAATATACACGGCCGTCCTGCAAGAAAAAATTACATAAATCGGTTATAAATAAACCAAAGAGATTATCGTTCGCTAAGACCTATAAAATTAAAAGTTTTGAATTTTAGAAAACTGTAATATTTAGTGACGAAATTAAGAATTAAGTATCAAAAACGTCAAAGCAACTGTTAAGCACGGCGGCGGCGGCGAAAGGAATACGAGAACATATTTAAGAAATTAATTTAACATAATGGAATATTGCAAAAAAGGTAATATGTTATAACATATGTATGTATGTAGGTATTATGTTCGGTGAAGAATTATTTTTATTCAAAATTTGAATTACCAGGAATAATAGAACTCGCATCGGAAGCTAAAGCATAGCGTCAATGCCATGGTGGTAAGCTTATATTACGATGTTTTATTCAGACTTATTTATTATACTTAGTAATTGGATTTTTGACCATAACATGTATATAAGAGCTGTAAATGGAGTTTATGGTAGAGCAACGCATGATGCCCACGTATGGAGCCGTTCAAACGAACTAGTATACAAGCTATCCAACTACTAAAATGGAGATAAATCTTCATCGATAATTGGTCGGTGATTTTGTTCAAAATGCTTGTACTTGTATTTATATATTAGGTTGTCAAATATCTCCCTTCCGCCTTTTTGTCTTTTGAATTTCGCGGCTTCGAAAAATCTTGACATAACCTACAAAACGACGCTATGGACGATTAGTTTGGACATTGCGTTCAACAGTTATAGACGTGTGAACATGGAGTTCACTAACGCCTAATATCGCGCTATTTTAAAGTTTTCTTTCGTTAAAGGCAAATCCGCTAGAGAAACATACTGAGAGAATAATGGTGTTTTTGGGGATTATACTCTATCACTTCGAACTGCGGAGGAATGGTTTCGACGATTCAGAGCGGGCGACACTATGGATAGGCCAGCCGGCGGAAGACCTATGACGACGAATACCGATCAAATCATGGAAAACATCGATTTAGACCGGCATGTGGCATCTCGTGACATCGCCCAGAATATGGGAATTAGTCACCAAACCATTTTAAACCATCTGCAGAAGGATGGATACACAAAAAAGGTTGATGTTTGAGTACCGCATGATTTGACGCA